GAAGAAAAAAGAAAGAAAAGAAAAACTGGGCCCACTGAGACCAACTACAGTGAGAAAGAGTGAAGGGAGAGAGAAGAAAGAACAAAACAATGAGATAGTTGAGCCCTTATCACCTGACATAGGGCTGGAGGAGTTCCAACCCTGCCTCAAGGTTGCAGGGGTCGATGCTGGTTGTAATTACCCTTGTAGGAAAGATCACAGCAGAGGTCAGGCAGCGGTTCCTGCAGCAGTGTTGAGCCCTGGAGATCACGGGTATAGCTCTTAATTCATTTCTTTCAGCAATACTTTGTTGTTTTCAGCATACAAGTTTTTATTTCCTTTGATAAATCTAGTTTTAGATGTTTTTCTTTTAGAATACTGTTAGACATGTGACTTGGTTTATTGTGCCAACCTGACCAATAAACACATGTGGAATTAGTTGAAGGGTGGACGGATAAATGGCTCAGTGAGTCTTGCCTTTCTAGTTCTCGGGTCTCTTGCTTTGTGGTTTGGGCAGCACTGCGTTGGGATGTTTTTTTGATGTGTGCTTAACCTTTATATAAAACTCTCTCTTATACATGAGTTTCTGTGGATTTGTTTTTCTAAAATACCCAGACTAATACAAAATGAAACCGTATTTTGTTTATTTTGGAAACAACTGGTTTTTATACATTGACCTGGTGTCTTCACTTTCCTATCGTTTGAGAATATACCTAGAAATGAAATGTCTTGGTCTTATAATAAATCTGTGTCTAACCTTTTGAGGAACCACCAATCTGTTTTTCATTTAAAACGGCACCATTTTACATACCTACTCGCAGTGCACGAGGACTCCAGTTTCTCTAAGGCATTTCCAACACTTGTTCGTTTACATTTTCTTGTTATTAGCCATCCTGGTGGGTGTGAAGTGGTATCTTGTGGTTTTGCCAAACTGTTTTCGTAAGTCTACTTTCCTTGATGCATGTGGTCACTAAAGTCTCTGTTTCTGTAGTTTATATACAACTAGTGTTTTGACAAGGAGTCTTGGATCAATAATACAGTGTTTGGCTGCTAACCTTGAACCAACCCCATTCCATGAAAGAAAAAAAATGTAGTGACTGCTCCCATAAAAATTATAGCCTACTTTGTTGTATAGGGTCTCTATACGTAGGGATAGACACTAGTACACAACAACAATACTTTGACAGATTTCCTTAAATATCAGGAGTTTAAAATAGAAAGGAAGCAAAAACCACATCCACACCTCTCACAGCCCCTGCATATTGGCTCTGTATGGAGACTCCTTCAACATTTAGTCAGGCTTACATTGGTTTTAGAGATCAGTCCAAGGTGAAAGCTTTGAGTCTTCTTAGGCTTTTTCCTGAGCATGCATCTTGGCCCTGGGCCCTAATTTAATTTAATCCCAAAGCCTTAATTTCCAAAGAAATTTCCTAGCTTTTATTCTGGGACTTTAGGTAATCTATTGTCGGTCTAAACCTTAATAGTTAACCTCTTGTGTCTACAGGTTGTTATCCTTATGGTTTTCTAAAATAATGCATGCTCTTTTCTGGTCTAAGTGCAAATGAGTTTAGTGAAACAGACAAGGACCTTGCTTCAACCCTTCAGATAGTCCCCAGACAGGATAAAGCCAACTTGCACTTTAATTTGTGAACAAAGTTTGCTCTGCTTCCTCAGGGACCTTAAACTTGTGTTTCAGAAGGGAGCTAAATAGGTAGGCAAAAGCAAGTAAAAGCATCCCAAAGCTTTCCTGCTCTTTTTAAGTGACCATTTTCCTGATTCAGCATTTCTGGGTTGCTGCGTGCCTTTGATTTTTGTAGAGATATGGCAGAGCTGGTTCTGACAGTTTGTGCTTTTGAATGCTTCTGTCAGGGGACAGCAGTTTGAAGCTGCTTTTTCTACTCCTCTGCTGGCAATGCTCCTTCAGAGTAATCTTTTAAAGAAGCTATTTTCTTGTTTTTACAAAAGAACAACTGTTTTGTTTTATTTCCTGTATTACACACAGGATAAAAACATACAAAACCCAGTTGTATAGCTAATCTCATCAGAACAGTGACAGTATCCCAGGAAACCAACATGTGTATGGCCCTTTTTCCCTCCCTCCCTTCCTTCCTTGCCTGACTGTGATGCCCCCTCCCTGCCTTCCACAACCCAACCTTGCCTTCAAAGTTTACTTCTTTGGGTGTGAAAATCACTTTCTGTTAGCGATTTTATTTTTCTTTGTAATAATGGTGTCATGAAGTATTTGTTTTTATGAGATTAACTCTTTTGCACATAGTGTCTTCCAAATGCGTCCATCTCATGAGATATTTGACAGTTTCATTATTATTTTATAGAGATGCACACTATCTTGCTTAAAAGTTTTCAGTGTCTCCTTTCTAGTACAGAAACTGGAAAGTACCATAGAATGGCACATCTGACCCTTCATCTGCTGTGTACCCTGACCTGAGCTGCACTAGCTTTCTTATGTTTTATTGAATATATTAACCTTGTCCAATCCTCTGGCCCAGTGTAGTTGAATAAAAAGACAATATAAGCCACATTTGTAATTTTAAATCTTTAAATAGCCACCTTTTAATAAGTGCAAAGACAGATGAATTCATTTAAATAATATATTTAATCCAGTGTGTCTTCAGTATATATTCACGAGATATTTTACATATTCTTATTTGTACTAAGTCTTTGAAATCCAAATTGTATCTTCTTACACTTATTAAACCAAACCAAATCAGCTGCCTTACAATAGATTCTGACAAACAGCAATTTGGTAAGGTAGACAGATTGCCCCAGACTGTTTTTGAGGCCGTAATCTTTATAGGAAAATAGACCGCCTCATCTTTCTTCCAAGAAGGTAATGAATAGCCCTGTGCTTAACCCAGGGCACTACCAGGGCTCCCTTTTATATATTCCTTTTGTCTCAGTTTGAAGTAGCTATACATGCCTGTCACTTTACCATAGTGTTATGGCTTGTGTGTTACTATGGTGCAAGAAGCTATGCTACTGGCCATCAGATACCAGCAGGTTTACCTATGGTGCTCAGGTTTCAGGCAAGCTTCCAGAATAAAATACATTAGAAAAAATAATTTGGTAATCTACTTTTTGTTTTTCATTAAGCATTTTATTGGGGGCTCTTACAGCTCTTATAACAATCCATACATCTGTTGTATTAAGCATATTTATACATATGTTGTCATCATTATTTTCAAAACATGTCCTTTCTACTTGAACCTTTGGGATCAGCTCCTTCACCTACGTTTCTGTTGTTCCGATCATTGCAATTAGTTCCCTCTTCCTTCCCCTCTCTCTCCACCATCCCCCTACTCTCATGGTATCGTTATTCCTATTATTATTCCTGAAGGGTTTATCTGCCTTGGATTCCATGTGTCGAGAGCAATTATCTGTTACCAGTGTACATGCTCCGGTCTAGCTGGAATTGTAAGGTAGAACTGGGCCATGATAGTGGGCGGAGGAAGCATTAAAGAAGTAGAGGAATCTTGTGTGTTTCATAAGTGTTATAATGCAGCCTGATTGACTTGTCCCTTCCTTTTGACCCTTCTGTGAGAGGATGTCCAATTGCCTACAGAGGGCTTTGGGTCTCCTCTCCGAACCCCCTCGTCCCATCAATCTAGTTGCTTTTTTAGGGTCTTCTAATGCCTATCTAACCTGATCCTAGAGGAAAAGAAGTTTAAAGAAGCTCTGAGAAACAGGTTTCCTTATGTGGTACTTTTTGGACCCTACATAAATGTGTTTATATTTGTTGCAAAAAGCTAAGAGATGCATATAGTGAAACCATTGTTTTCCCCTTTATTCAACCATGGAACCCATTTTTCTCAAGTTAATACATAAATTTTATCTCCTGGAATAGTATTACAGAAAGTGTATAATAATCTCCTTGCTTTAATTTACAATTTACATTAGCCATATGATGTTGAACATCTTTTATGCATTATTTTCCATCTGTATACTGTCTTTGGTGAAGTGTTTATTCAGATCCTTTGCAAATATTTTAATTGGATTTGTTTGTTTATTTTTTGAGTTTTAAGAATTCCATGTGCATTTGGGATGCAAAGGCTTATCAGATGTGTTTGCACATAAAATTTACTCAGTTTACTTTCAGTTCACACTTTCTTCTACAAAAGTATTTCCCAAAGTGGGCAAAAAGACTGCTTCCGAAGGGGTTGCTGGAAGAATCTAGTAGGAAGCTTCAACAGCAGATACCGTGCATACTATTCTGAGGAGCCCGGTAGTGCAGTGGTGATGTGTTGGTGTGCTAACCAGAAGACTAGCAGTTTGAAACCTCCAGCCGCTTCTCAGGAGAAAGATGAAGCTTCCTGTTCCCATAAAGATTTATAGTCTCCCTTGTCCAATAGGTTGCTATGAGTCAAAATCAACTCCATAGCAGTGAGTTGTTTTAAAAAATACTTTATCCTGCATTATGGGCTAATTGTACAAAAAATTTGAATCACCAGGGGGGCACTGGGTACTTTGTTTCTTTTCTTTTCTTTTCTTTTCTTTTTCTGAAAAGGAGGCAGTAGGCCAAATAAAGTTGGGGACCTGTTTTGCAGAGTACGCTTTAGGGTCTTCATGTAAACCATGGCTCTTCCCTATTAGACCTTAGAATTTAAATTTTGTCGCTTTAATAATGACCATTGACTTGTCAGCATCCTCTTTAAGAATGAAAACTATTTCTTCAGAGAAAGACTGAAGAATCTTTTGATCTTTTAGCTCTCCTGCTCAAATGACCTAGCCTACCATTATTAGAAAGGCATGCTTATGACCTGGTTTCTTTATGTGTAGTGTTTTTGTTTTTAATTTGTGGTAAAATATAAAATCTTCTGAGCCAACGTATTACACTTAGTTCTTATCATCCTAAAATATGTTTGCTAAAAAGATTCTAACAGGTTAGAAATGAGGTTCTACAATAATGTGCATAAAAATTTATTGTAGAAATTTCAGTGCATCACATACTTCTAGAAAGCTAAAGTTTGATATTTAGAGTAATTTGAATTATTTTTCTTCTTTAGCTTCCTGCTGATCTCACCAAGATGCACCTCACAGACAACCCTCATCCACAGGTGACCCATGTGTCTTCCAGTCAGTCTGGGTGTAGCATCGCCAGTGACTCTGGGAGCAGCAGTTTATCTGATATCTATCAGGTAATAACTCAGGATTTGTGTGATGCGTGTGACTTTTTTCCCTTTCTTTTTAAATATACCATATATATTCGAATATAAGCCAACCTGAATATCTGCAGAGGCACCTAACTTTACCACAAAAACTGCATTAAAAATGTGCTGGGGGGAAAATGTGCTAAAAAACTCGGCTCATACACGAGTATATACGGTATTTATTTTAAAACTAAGCATTTTAGTGGAGCATTCTTATCACATGCCACAAATAAGTCTGAAAATAAATACAATGTTAAATACAATGTAAACAGAAGTATTAGTAAATCATATGTAATAGTGTCCTTCACAAGGCTCTGAATCTGTGTTCTGGGAAATCAGCAGTGTTCAATGTTGTTGAGAGTTCTGTTGGCTCAACTGGTTAAGTAAACAGCAACTTACCAAAAGGTTAAAGCTTAGGACCTGCCCAGTAGCTGCAAGAGAAAGATGGAAAGATCAAATTCTGTAAAGGCTGGGAAACTCTGTTCTCTCATATGGGGCCAACTGTGAGTTCAAATCAGCCCCGTAACACCTAAAAATATAGAATCACAAAAGATACAGTATCACTGAAAGGAGCTAGCTCCTTGATGTTCCTGGGTAAGTGAAAGAGTATTGCTATCTGGGCTCCAGGTCACCCCACACAGGTTTATTCCAAACAAAACATGTTTTAACTTGCAATCAGTGAATGGCTACATACAAATTCTCTTAACACATTTCGTCTTGTGAGGGTACCTTTAAAACAAACTTCCAGTCAAAGCAGTGGTTTCCAAGGATACTTGCTGGGCTAATGAAATTCAAAGGAGACCAGTCAGCTGGGAAGGTGGTGATGACTTTTTCAGGGAATCTCAAGGCAGCATCTGGATAGATTTTATCAAGTACATAGAATAATCACAGGGCCTGATGGGAACAAGATTTAAGAACGCTGGTGCTTCGTTGATGAGAAGAAGGCCAGAAAAGTTGCTCCAAGGAGACATTTTTCCAATTCCAGACAGTGCACCTGTTAACTCCTCCGTGGTGATAAGGATTGCATTGGGCCATCACATTCCATCCACCCTCGCTGTCAGACTCTTTGTTCCCAGAACTCAAGGAGCATTGAAAAGAAACACAATTTGAGTCCCTTGAGGATACCCAACCTGCCTTTTTGTCATGATGTAAATCAGAGGATAGAATTAATTGGGGAAGGGTTGGAGTTGGAAACACTGCTTTCCAAAGTATGTGGACCTAGATGAATGATCACAATAGCTTCACAATTTGATATTTTGTTTAATAACGATTTCTGCTTTGTAGCAATACTTCTTGACATTCCCTTGTATGTGCATGTGACTTTTTCTTTTTTCTTTTTAATCGTTTTATTAGGGGCTCATATGACTCTTATCACAATTCATACATACATCAATTGTGTAAAGCACATTTGTACATTCATTGTCCTCATCATTCTCAAAACATTTGCTCTCCACTTAAGCCCCCGGCATC